GGCAAACTGAGGATTCCAAACTTTAGTTCAGAACCTCCCCATTTGTAGTGGTCACACGTGGAGAGACCCATCAAGGAAGGGGAAGTGATGAGAAGCTTCCTAAAATTCTTCTGAGTATGTTCCTTCCGTTCCCAAATGTAGGCATAGATACAGGAGGCTGTCATTAGTGTACCATGACCACACTGTTTCTGCCACCGAAGGATGATGCATTAGAGTAATTCTGTTTTTTGTAAGAAGCAGAGCTTAAAATAGAATGGTATGTAAGAATGAATCCTTTCTAAACATAAAGGCTTCTTTGTGTCATAATAAAGTACAGGGCTTTAAAAAGTTTTATTATTAATGTCCCTCATATATATTTTGTTCTTTTCATTGAGGTGGCCAACTTTATGATGTCTGGTTTTGTAAAAGCCTTTTTTTCTCCCCTACCTTCCCTCTTTTGTTACTATTTTCCATTTTGTCTCATTTTCTGGTCAGTTTTAATTTTCATTTCCAGTGTCTGATTTTTTAATATTTTTTAAATCTAAAGTATTTTATCTTCTTTTTGGGTCTATATTAATTCTCTGGAGTGCTAAACCTAAGAGAGGAGTGATAAGAGTAGAGTGATCACCCTTGGCATACTTTATTGTAGACAAGTTGTTTGAACTGGTAACACTTGGAAAATGAAAGTGATGTATTTGTTTTGTTATTTCCATGGAAACAAGATATGTATAATGAACTTCTGAAAACAAGTGACAAATATATACAAAGAAGCTGATTCTTTGAAGCAATTGCTTAATAGAAAGAAATTAGTTCATTTGAGGGGGTTATGGTTGGGGGCTTTTGTGGTGTGTTTGGTTTTTTAGTTTAGCTTCATGACCTCTGAAAAGCTGGTATTAGGAAGGGTTTTCCGAATGTGAACAGGGTATTAAAAATGCTGGAAATAAACTGGGGGTATGATTGCCTTATGTGTTATGCAGTGTTCATAGTATTATAATTTTTCATACAATAGTTTGGGTTGGGAGAGGACCTTCTACAGGTCATCTAGTTGAACACCACTGCCCCTGCCACCTCCCTCCCTCTCCCTGGTGAGCAGGGACATATTCCATGAGACCAAGTTGCTCAGAGCCCCATCCAGCCTGACCCTGAATGTTCAGGGGCATCTACCACCTCTCTGGACAACCTGTTCCAGTGTTTTACCACCCTCTGAAAAAAATTCTTCCTTATATCTAGTCTGAATCTTCCCTGTTTTAGTTTACAACATTACCTTGTCCTATCACAACTGGCCCTGCTAAAATCCCTGCCCCCATCTTTCTAATAAGACCTCTTTAGGTACTGAAAAGCCACATTAAAGTCTCCTGGAGTTTTGTTTTATCCAGGCTGAACAACCCCAACTCTCTCAGCTTTTCCTCATGGCAGAGGTGTTACTTCCCTTTCATCTTCATAGCCCTCCTTTGGACCTGCTCTAACAGTTCCATGTCATTCTCATGTTGGGGGCCCCAGAGCTGGATGCAGTGCTCCAGAGGGGCAGAATCCCATCCCTTGACCTGCTCGTCACTCTGCTTTTGATGCACCCCAGGATATGGTTGGCCTTGTGGGCTGTGAGCAAACATTGACAGCTCATGTCTAATTTTCCATCTAATAGTACTTTGAGGTCACTATCCATAGGGTGTTTTTATGGACCTGAAGGGGGCTGATCCTGTGGCTTAAGAGTGTGTAAATTGAGGTTCGTTGAGAGACTTCCTCTGTCATTTCTACCTAGTCTGTTTTCTCCTATACATTCAACCCATGACTGTAGACAGAAGAGAGGGTAATAGCATGCTGTCCTGATTAACAATAATGATGACAGCAACTGCTCAGGGGTGTAGGATTGCTACTTGGTAATTTAGATGCTGGTACATAGCACATGTTCCATACCTGACAAAAAAAAAAAAGGCCAGAACACATGACTTAATCAAGAGTTATGTTCCTAGGGTTTTCCACAAGACTTGATGTATGATGCAACTGTAGAGTTTTTGAGTTAATTATGGTGATGTACAAGTGGGTTTGATAATATTGTGATAGATGGGGGGGAGAGTGGGGATATTTTTGGAGTCTAGAAGAAGATAATGAATTTCAAAATCAAAGCTGCTTTATTTAGAAAACTTGGGATATAGTTGCAAAAATTCCTTTACTTTCAGTCCTGTTTCTAGTGTAATTCCAGTTAATGTTGTTTTCTGGTAAAGAATATCAGCCAGAGTGCACATTTCTTTTTCTTTTGAGGTCCAGCTGTAATATTACATTGGTCACATATGTGTCCAATTTGTTGGTAACACCTTAAGTTGGAGGGAAAAACCCCCTCATTTCCTTACCCCATGCAAGTGACAGGGAAAAGACCAAATGTGAGAGATAGGTATACCTGTGTCTTGGACCAGATGTTCTTTGTTCCTCTCAGCAGCCTTATTTATGTATTTTTCCTTTTAATTAAAAAAACCCAAACAAACATGCTCTTCTACTAATAAGTGCAACCAAAAATTCTTCATGTGTTAATAAAACCCTGAGATCAGTTCAGTTGGTTAGAGCATGCTGCTAATAATGCCAACATTGTGAGTTTGATCCCTGTATGGGCCCTTCACTTAAGAGTTGGACTCGATGGTTCTTGTGGGTTCCTTTCAACTCAGAATATTCTGTGAAAAATAAAAGAGTCAGCTTGAATTTCAGCATGTTTTGCTGAAAGTGATCATTCTCTTTTCTCTTGTGATGATCCTGACTGATGATCCAAGCTAAATCTGTGTGCCACAGAAAATTACCTTTGAAACGTCTATATGGTAGACTTGGCCATAAATCTGTAGCGAACAAGGGCCTTAGGGTGTTGTTATGCTGAAGTTTCGAAGTGATTGCTGGTGCTGTCTTTTTCTAAATGAGAGACAAACCAAAATGAAGTCTTGACCTCTTGAGCTGGTTAAAAGTTCTTGTATGTGTTTCATCAGAAGCGGGATGTTAATCCTATTAATGAAAATCCTGGAGAAATTCCAAGTAGTTAATTGCAGTTTATTCCACGTGTCTTTCTGATTAATGAAATACTGGATTATATTCTGCATTTTTACTGTTGGGATGTTCTTTTACTTGTTATGTGAAGCATTCTGTTAGTGTTGAATTTTATTGTGAATAACCAATTTCTCCTTATTTTGAAAGCCTGGGATAAAATTTTGTTTTGTGTTTAATTAATTGAAGTAGGAGTCACTTCTAAGTAGGAGTAATTTCTGGTGGTCTCTAAACCAGAAATCTCACTTCTTTTCATCAATGGAGGCACCCTTCAGCTGACAGGGACTTGACCACAGAAGGTGTCTAAGAGAAGATCAAAGATAAATCGATGACAGATAGTTGAATTGCTCTTCACAGTGGCCTTTTTGACACTTGAAATAAAGTTAGATTTCTGTGCATAGTTTTTCTAGCCCACTACTTCTGTTGCCAGTGTACACTGTCTCTATCCTACCATCTATTGTTTATTCCTACATAAACAGCTGTCACTGTTGAAAGGACTGGTCTGGGTTGTGTGGTGGTGGCTGTTTTTTTTTTTCCCTGAAAAAAAAAATTTTTGCATGAAATGCTCTCTAAATTGGCATAAAAAAAAAATACTCAAGCAGCATGTGTAGTAGCATGTTTCCCAGCAACATGGACTCTCAAATATTACTTTGACTTTGAGGGTTTTGTAGTGTTGTAAACATTTTCTCCTTTTAAAGATGGTCCTATTTAAGATTATATCAGTGTAAGTATCAAAACATCTTTTTGAAAATGTTTCTATTAAATTTTAGCTTAAAACATACGGCAAAATTTTGGGGTGTAAAGTCTTATCCAAAAGATCAGGGAATCTGTAATTTACTAATACAGGAACAGGTGCGGTTTGTGTCTGCTGTAATTCATGGAAAAGAAAAAATAGGAGTTTTTTTAATGGTGAGTAAATTCACTAACGCTGTGGCCTCATACCTGAATTTTAAAATGATGAGCACTAAATATAGTTCTGTATTAGGGAATAGAATGGACCAGTGTGTACTCCATAACATTATCTCCTGCCTAAACTGAATATTAAAAAATTCTAGAAAACAGACATTTATTAACCTGCTTTGGCTTAAACACATCTCTGTAGTGAATGCTGAGTTTCTTTGAGTTCCATCAGTTGAACCCTTTGGTCTGGCAGGCCAAAAAAGATCTGTGGGAATGACAGTATAAATTGGTGTTTGTGAATTTCCTGTTGGTCAGATTTTGCACCATACACTGCTATAGCAAAATCCTCTCCACTAAAAGTAAATGTAAGCAAGTAATTTACTAATGTGGAAGTATGGTCTTCCTATTAGAGAAAACAACAGCAAGTATTCAGCTCTGAATTTCTGGGGGCTTTATGAGTTTATCAGACTGCTGTTGTGTTTTCCGTGCACCTGTGAATGTTTTTTGATGGTGATGGTCTAAGAAACAAAACAGGTATTGAATTTAAATGTGTCATTTAAAACATTTGTCGGTCTTTAAGACAGGAGGAATTTCAAGTTTTTAAATGCTTTTCAATAGTTTGCTTTACACAGTAGCATTATTCTTAATTTACTTGTGAATACATGAATTGTGATCTCTGAATAATATGATAAACAGTTATTCAAAGAGGAATAAAAAACAGTAAATAACAAGACTCATGTAAGATTCTTCAGTTATTGCCATATGCATGCAGGCTTTACATGTGATTAACCAAATGAGGCTATACTTGACTTGATGAGCTGCAGGCATTTTAACAGCAGATCAGATCCCTCTGTTTCCTCTTTATTTCTGAATGTTCGTCAAGGGAAGTTTCTAAAGTGTTGTCCTATTGATGTACATAAAAAACAAAAGTGATGTTCCTAGGATATGTTTTATTTGATGCCATAAATAGGCTGCATGGGTCTTCCTGTTCTGTTGCAGTTTTCTGTTGTTCACTGTGGTAAACCAAAGCCATTCTGCTATTCTTGGAATGTTTTTTGTGCTCTCTTGTAATTTCTTCCAATTGCTGTTTGTTTCAACAGGGGAAAGTCCCTCAGAACAATTACTTTTGATCAGTTTAAGGAAGCTCTTCAAGAACTCGCCAAGAAGCGATTTAAAGGCAAGAGTGAAGAGGAGGCACTTCAAGAAATGTATAAACTAATTGAAGGAAAAGGCCCAGTTATATCTGGAGTAACGGTATGTTACTGATCTGATGGACAGACTGTTTCTACCTGTCCTTTGTTCCACTGCAGTGTTGTTGTATTCACCTGCTTCCCTTTACAATCCACAAATCCAATTCCTCTGGAAGCCCACAGGCAACAACTACTGTGAGCAAAGATTATGCAACAGCTGAGTATTGCACTGCTATGTATTCTTGTGTGGCACTGTCATTGCTTCTGCTCAGAATTGTAGTACCACCTAGCAGCACTGTCAGGAAACTTCTGAGCTCTTGTGTATGATTAGAACAAAGAAATGTTCATGAAGGGGGTGTATACAAATCAAAGAGAGTAGAAGGAAATTAAATTTAGAATCTCATTAAACAGTTCTAAGATGTTGTGTGAAATGCCAAAGACTAAAGACATCATATACATTTAATTGCATCATGTGAATCCCAGAGCACCGGAAATCTGAGAAAAATTATCATATGGTCTTTGTTTTTTGTTTATTCCAAGTCTGTCAGAACTATAATGTTCTTTCTTTTTCATTTTAAAGTATTGGTATTAAGCTTTATGTTTGAAAAGGAAGTTATAAAACCTACTCTACATAAGTTTGGTTGTCCTTTTAAATGCTCAGGCTAGGCAAGCTTTTAGCCTGTAGGACATACTGGAGTGTTTACCATCAGCTTGAATAGTTCTGTCAGTTTAGTTCATCTGCTTAAAATTTGTGATCCTCCTGAATTTTGGCTTTAGAATGGTGAATGAAAATATAATCTTTCCAGAAATCTGTTCTGTATAAATGATCCGTGTAAATGTCAAGTGGAAAGATCTCTTTTGAGTTATAGATTTGGTTCAAGTTCCAGACAGAAAACTTAACTATGACTACTGACACATTAATCTAAACATATTAGGGAAGGAGTTGAAAGCATGATTAAGTGAAGCTTGTGGATAAGAATACTTCAGCAGCATGTGGGGATTTTTGTGTCTTAGCTTCTTATTTTTTGTACTGGGTATTTTGGGGAGGCAGTTAGGGGAGGGCTTATGTCTGTACTGAGTGGCAACACTGCTTCAACAGGACAGCTGGAAAATTTACCTTCGTATGAGGATTTTAGTGTATGTTGTGATAGAAGGTGTTTTTTTTTCTTTTTCTGTTTATTATTTTTCTTTTTCCTTCGGAATGTTATGGAATTACAGAAATCCCTGCTTGATGTGGTTGAGAAGGCTCAGCAGCCAGACAGTGAAACCGAGTGAATTTTGGGCTGCTTTCTAATGTGCAACAGAAGATGTATGGTTGGCTTGGTCACACAGGAAGAAAAACAACAGAAAGTTATAGGGGTTAATGAACCTGGTAGCTTTATTAGCTCATTCGATCTGTCAATGGTGAACTTGCCACCGGCTGCCGCATGAGAGGAGCCCCAAAGAAAAGATACAAGGACTCCTTGAAACAACATCTCAGCCTTGGCCATATTGATCATCATAACTGGTCTACTCTGGCCTCAAATCGGGAGGCCTGGAGACACACCATCTATAACACAGCTGTCTCCTTCGAGAACACACGCAGGATCACTCTCGAGGAAAAAAGGCAGCGCAGAAAGAACCGTAAATTGCAGAATACACCTCCTAAGGAGTCTTTCTGCTGTGCCTTTTGCAATCGGATATGTCTGTCTCGTATTGGCCTCATAAGCCACCAGCGTGCCTGTAGCATATGTGGATAGAACCTTCCCAAATCTTCGTTCGCGAAGGCTAGCCATGAGCCGATCTGTCAGTGCAGGTCATGTAACTTTGACAGCTTATAATCAGACATGTAAATGAAGTCTAGGGCCTTTTAGTTATCCTCACTTCTACCCAAAGGTTACAAGAGCAAGACTGAGGTTCTGTCTTTTTCTGTACTAAAAGCTATGTGCTATAACAATATTGAATGCATTTCTACACCTCCTGTGGAACAGATACTTACTTTGGTCATTGCTCGCTCTTAAAATGAAACCAGTTGAACTTCAATGTATATTCATCAGGGTCGCTGACATAGAAATGCAGAATAATTTCAACTGCAAGAGACCTGGGTTGATGTCATTCAAACCTGCTGACAGGATGGCAAACTTCAAATCCAGATCAGGGTATTTGGGGCTCAATCCATTCACATTTGCTGTGAGAGTAGTGTGGGTGGCAGGGCAGTACAGCAGTGACAGCACTTTAAAAGCTAGGTGATGGGTGCTTAGGGTAATGGTGATGTGGGCAAGATCGAATTCTCACAAAAATGGACCTGTTAGGGAAAGAGCAGGGAAGCCAGAGTGCAGCCCACAGAGTGTGGTAAATGAGACAAAACAGGTGTTGCAGCAGAAGTGCAAAGAGGCCTAGAAATTCCACTAAAGGCTATGTGGATCTGCTTGAAGACTGTACAATGGTAGTCTGAAAAAGCTGCAGGATATATTGTCCAGCACATGGACATCCATTAGTAGAAGTCTAAAGGACTGCCATTAGCACATCAGAGTCCTTGGCTCTATAGGAAGGAGTCCTATATCCAGGTCCTGTGCTTCAGAGCTCCTGTGTCTTCCTGGAGGTCATGGCAGTGGTTGCCTCTCTTGTGGGAAATGTGCTGTGGTCAAGACCCTGAGGCTCCAGATTGACGGGAAAGATGAAGAGAAGACTGACATTGTATTTGTGGAAAACTCAACCTACACAAGGTGAGGAAGGAGTGACAGCTAGAGGAGACCAAGTGGATGGAGACTATGGAGATAGAGAAGGCTGGGAGCTTGTGACTTCTGGCAACAGTCGCAGATCTATTCCACCTACAATTCTCCAATTTCAGAATACATATAGTATTCTAGGCACTGGTGAGTATCAACAAGACCCATCAAAGTCAGCTGAGCCTGAACTTAGTGTTCACACAAAAGGGAAAAATGAGTGATAGTGCCAACCAACACTATCTCACTATGGGGACAGACAGGTTCTTTTAAGGATCCTTGGTGGAATGAGAACTGGCCACAGGTTTGTAATTATAATTAGAGCTTTATTACTATAGAAAGATTTTTTTCATTACACTTAATTTCTAGCAATTAGGATAGCTTTCATGTTATTACCTAAATTGCAGTTACCTATACTTTTCAGTCAGCTGAACACTGCAGATCAGGTCAAATTCTTAATAATCAGTGTACAATATAATCATCATAATCTGGACTCTAACTTTAAAAAGTATGTAAGAAGAACAATGACAGAGGGAGTGTCATGATTGTCTAGCCTACAGTGAGGTTCCCCCCACTCTGTTTCCTCTTCTACTGAGGTGTGAGTGTCCCCTGTAGAAGGACAAAAGCCTTAGCAGTCTGTCTGCTCTAGGATCTGCTTCAAAAACCTTTTGGATAAGCTGATCTATTTGTACCTCTCAGTCTGGGCCTTTGGTCTATACAATTTCCTCAAGTTAGTGGATTCTGAAGGGGCTGCCAGACAATCAGTATGCAAGAATTTTGGCTGCAGGTGGCAGAAGGTTGCAGGTGATAATGACTGCATGATGATATTTATCTCTTCCAGTCCATTGAGTACTGCCTACAGCAGTGCTAATGGTGCTGCTCCCATCATATATCAGGCCTTAGCATGAGCTGTGTGTTAGCCAAAATCTGAAAAGGAGTTGACTGAACAGTCATGGGAGGCATCCCTGACTACCGAGGGATCACGACTTTTGCCATCCTGAATATGAGCATCTCGTGCACTATTACACTTCCTTGTTCTGTAATGGGTGTCACCATACTCTGGCAACAGTGCTGTACCAGGTGTCAGAAGCAATGGGTACCCAGCACAGGTAGTTACTGAAGAGTCCTCTTGTGGATGATAAGGGCATGTATTTTCTCATCTCACCTGATGTCTCAGGAGTTTTATTGCTTGGTGGATGCCAGGATCTGAGATTGTTGCAGATGCACTCACAAGATTTGTTCAGCCTTCTAACACGGAGCTCTTTGTTGTGGGTACCATGAGTACTGCTCTGGAGGTAACCTGGAACATATAAAGAGAGACTACAGAAGTCAAGGGACGAGGGTGTAGAGGGGGGAACTCTGATCTTATCTTCCCCAGTCCAGGAAGGAGAATTGGACTGTATAGTATGGCTTGTGTTGGAGAGGAGGCTTTGGCTTCTGTGGCCAGAGGAATGAGGCCTACTGAGCAGAGATGGAATAACTCTACCGAAGTGTAGTATCTTTTCAAACTAGATTTACTAATCTGCTGGGAAGATTATTAGACTGGGTATGGAAGGTTACCATAATCTGAAGATAAAAGATCATAAGGGGCAGAGCAGGTATGTCTAGGTGACAATCCTGACAAAGGAGGCTCTTACCCATCTGTAAATGCAGCAGAACATGGGGCCCACCTCAAATGCCTGCACACACAAGCAAATAGCATGGGAAAAGCAGGACAAATTACTAACCTCACTGAGATTCTGCAAGTGTGGTAAAACAGCTCTCCTGGCTGGGGTGCTGCACTGGATGAATAGAGGCCCTTCAGGAAATACAGAGGGAAAATGAGGAAGAGGGACTGTGATCTATGTAAAGGTTTATCTTGATAGCATCTGGCTTTGGAACAAGTCTCATTAAAGACTGGTTATAACATTAAATTCAAGGATTCAGCAACACACCCATTGAAAAAAAGATTACTCTGTGCTATCTTCCCTATTCTGTTTTGTCTTCACTATCAGTAAGAATGTAAAACTCCTCAGAGAAGTGTTAACACATTGTTTTCAACTTTGTGGAAGGTCATGTTAATCAGACTGTAAGATCCCATGATTTGTAGTGGCTTGGAGTGTTGAAATGCTGGAGAGCTGGAGTTGAGGGCTAATCTTAGAGGGAAGGGCTAGGGTTAGGGTTGGGTTGCTTCTGTGTGTGTGTGTCTGTGCATGTGCTAAAATAAAGGAACATGAATGAAATCCCAGTTTTTCTTTGAACCTTGATCTCTCTTTTGACTTTGTGCAGATTTTTACTGCATGTGTATGTATTCCCATGAATTTAAAACCAAAATAAATATAATTTTGGTTTTGAACTCTGGTATAATCCCTTCTCCCCT